TCCTTTCCAACCTTAGTGATTCTGGGATTCTTTAATTAATAACCTTAATTAATAAACAGCTGTAACCAAGTTGCCTTCAACTGACATAAATATTTGATATGTCTGGATCTCAAAGACAAAGTTGTGCTCTGCTCCTGGCTGTATAATGAAGACATACACAACATGTCTTAAAGACTACAAGAATAGAAGAAGCAGTCATGTTAATTTAACGTGCTTGTTTCCAAAAGCCAAAAAAGTATTCATCTGCAAGCAGTGCCCACCACTTAGCATTTAATAGATTTCATATTATTATAGTAGTTATTTTAATTATATATAGAAGTTGTGGATAAGAACCAAAACCTGCAACCATGAAGTTTCCTAGAAAAAATAAAATCACAGAAGACAACTGTGTCAGTAGCAAAAACGAATGTAACTATTTCTTGCATGCTCCAAGCATATACACAATGATGCCATTTTAAGGCAGCAACTCTCAAGCTACGGACCACAAATGGAGCCAAAATTAGAACTGTAAATTGAAGACTTCAAACGGTAGAAAGGATTGCCCATCTAAAATGTCACACTTTACGGTAATCCAGAACTATCAATATTTTAATCACATTTCTCTATCTGAGTGTGTTCACCTATCTGTGAACACATCCATACTTCACAAAACCCATCATTTTTATTTTGTTTTCTAATGCAACTGTAGGTAGAAAAATTCCTGGCAAGAACTGTTCCTTTAATAGGAGTGAAGTTAATTAATTTTGTACCTGGTATGATTTTTATTGGACAGAAGCTTATAATTCCCACGTATTGCACAAAGCGATCAATGTGCACATCAATCCAAAATTGCTAAAATGAAGCTAAAAACATTCTTGATGTCAACTGTGGTTATTACAAATTATGACAAAGAAAACATCGTGGATGCATAAAGTAAACAGGAACATACAAAAATCTAGATTCTACTCTCAGGCTTCAGTTTGCATAATTTATATTTGTCACACCAATATTAATTGGTGTCAAATCCCATGCCAGCAATATTCTTAAAATCTATGAGAAAACAGTTTAGTTTCCAAAAAGCAAACTAATTGATACAGAAGGATACTTACATTTCTGAGAGGAACAGTAAACAGTATTCATGCTTTGTGTGTGTGTTGCTATTACTTTAATTTTTTGGGGGGGAAAAATATTTTAAAATTAATATTTTAAAAGCAAAGAACAAAGAAGAGTACAACTTACCAACTTCAGGCTTCCCGGGATGTAATTCTGAAGTACGGTTTCCTTCAGCGATGTAAACAGGAAAGCTTGAACATTCAAGATACAACTGACAAGCAGCAATAAAGGCAGGAAGGTATTCTTTCGGTGTTTTTTTCTTGTTTGTTTTCTTCACCTTAGCATCAACTTGTGATTCTCTGTCCCATTTTGTGGTCTGTCCTTGCTCTCTAGTGGGGTCCACTGGAAGCTCTGCTCCTAAGGGCTGAGACAAGGAATTACTCTGAATGATATACAGGTTGATAAATCTGGTTAAAAACTGCTGGACATACTCCAAACAGCACTGCATTGCAGTCTTTTGGATTGTTTTCCCACTTCGACTTGCTGTCCCCTGTGTCATTATGGAAGGAGGCTGTACAATGGTTTCCTCAGATCCCACAGTTGATGCTGTCTCAGTCTCTGAGGATGTGCTACCAATAATAGGAATGCCAGGCACACCATGATCTTCATTCAGTGCTCTATCAATGTCATCAGTTGTATCTGCCTGGTATTGTACAAATTCAGTGAATCCACTTTCCGATGATCGACTGCTTGGAGGATTTTCACCATCTTCAAATACATCATTAGGATTTTCAAGTGAAACTGATGGCACCTGAGTGAAACAAAAGTTTAATGACTGTTCAAAATAGGTTATTTAGCTCCTAGTGAGAAAATATTTATTTGCTTCATTTAAAAGCAACAATTTTATTGCACTGTTTAAAATCTATTATGATAAATACATCTTATGGAAAACGACATCCGGCATTTCAGTAAGCTTGCCAGGCCAAGCTAACTGTTAAAACAAACATTGTTTATCAGGTAAAATACTTTAAATATTATTGCTTTTAACACTTTCTTCATATCATAATCATGTCTATTTTTTGTGAAAGAATGCTGAAATGCATAGGTATAGGTATTATTAATTTATACATCATCATAAACCAAAATATTCATACATCAAAAGAAAACCCCTCACTTCCAGCAGGAAGCAGGACATTGAACTATGTTGCTTATGATCACTGTAGCTAGGAAGATTCTTCTAGTAACTTTAGATTTTAGCATTTTCTATAAATGGACAAGATATTCATCTGTTAATCAGAAATCATAAATCTGCAGTCATAAAGGAGTAAAAAATGCCTGCAAGGCAAAGGAGACAAAAAGGAAATGTCAGCCAAGAAGAATGGAAAGACTTAAGAGAGTAGGAAAAAGTATACACTTCCCTGATCACGTTTTTGAAGTTCCCACTGCACAAGTAAATAATTACATTAGATATTATTTTAACCTAGTAACTGTCTAGATATATCACTGATAGACGGTCTAGATATATCACTGATAGAAGAACCACAACTATTAAAGTCTCATCTCATTAGGAAGGCAGGATCAGTGTTATTTAACATTATAACTATAAAGTTGTCAAAACACCTTAAAGAAGTGAACTGTGGAGCTGTAAATGAAGAATAAAATCTTTCATAACCTAAAAACCATGTTTCCCACCTCCACATTTATACTAATAAAGCCAGCTCAACTTCTCAATAAAAGTTATGCTCTTTGACTTAAGAAATTGTCTCTTAAATGTGGATGGAATCTTAATTCATAGATGTATATATAGTACAACTTTAACTAGCATTTTTCTTTTTATATACCAGTCCCAAGGTTTGGAAATTGGGGATTCCTTTCAAATACAAAGTTATAATTATAAAAGAAGAAATAAATTTTCATTTCAAAACTACTAATCATTTGCAAATATAAAGAAAAAAATAATCTCCTGGAAACAAGAAAGAACAGTGAACAGTTGCTCCAGCAACAACAGTTCTTCATGACTCATTGCCTGCCTTAATTCTTCATCAGTTCAGGATATGCACAAATCTGATGAATGACTTCTACTCAAAAAGAACCCATAGCAGCCTTCTGGGCTGCTCTAACCCCCTACAATCTTGCTGGTAACTGGTAGCACAGTCTCTGCTTCCTGGTGAGAATCTGAGGTGAATAGGGAAACAACTGAAACAGAAATGCATGGATCTGCATGAGTAAATGCAGGTAAAAGAACGTGTCCACATACTTCTCATCTAGCTATCTTACCAGCAATGGCAGATGTTACCCGAGATCTAACAGTCTCAGAAGCTGTCTTGCTGTCTGACATCCTAATCACTGGCTGTCTTAAATGCAGAATTTGAGCATAATCTAAAAATCTGATTAACTTTTTCATGAATAAATAAAAACAGAGACATCATTATATATGGTGAATTACACCTTGCTTTACCAGAGATAGAGTAAAAATGAAAAAGAAAATTTGAGATAGTTTTCACTGAAAACTAATACCACATATCTCCTGTGTTAATATGTAGTAAAAAACTTGGAAAGACATAAAGGATGACCCTGTCTTATAAAATATAATGTAAAAGAGATCAGAAACATGGTAATTAATTTCACTCTATCTCTTAACGGAAGCCATGGACACATATAAGTTAGTGGTAACTGAAAGAAAAAGGCTATTTAAGGTTCAAAGGGCAACATCATTCAATCAAAACAGGTTTCATTAAAAAAAAGGCAAAAGAACAAAAACTGTCAGGTATCAGCTGGCTGGAAAGAATAAGGATAGGATCCTGCATAAAAGATACTGGAGTCCTAACGGACAAGGTGAAGACAGCAGTGGACCCTTCTGGCGAAGGAGGACAACCACATACAGGACCGTATTAGCAAAAGTATAGCCAGCAAGTCAAGGGAAGTGATTAGTCACCTCTGCTCAGCGGTTTTAAGACCACATCTGGAAGAGTGTGTCCAGTTTGCACCTATTAGTGCAAACCAAAAATTGATGTACTGAGTAAGTCCAGTGCAGGGCCACCACAGGAACACCCAACATAGACAGAAAGCTCAGAGTTGGATTTGCTCAGTCTTAAGAAAAAGAATGCAAAGAATTGTGGAGCGGGAGAAGGTGTCTTTATTGCTGCCTGTGACTTCCCATTAGATAGTTGAAAAGATAGAGGCATGCTCAGAAATCTACAGCAAAAGAACAAGAGGCAACAAACACAAGCTGCAACAATGGAAATTCTGATTAAATAACACAGCGCAAACAGACAAGCTCTACAAAGAAGTTGGTGCATCTTCATCCTTGGAGATACTCAAAACTATGCTGGGTATGATCCTGAGCGACTTGACGTAGCTTTAAAGCAAAATCAAAGTTTGAAATCAGCCCTGCTTTGAACAGTGACCTGCAACTGTCACTTCCAACCTAAATTATTCTATGACGTTCCTCCAGTTTCTTCAGCTGGAGAACAAGGATTTCAGGGCATGTCACTTAACACACCTTATAGAGCCATGGCTGTGTACACCAAACTAGACAATGTTAAGAGAGAAAGAAAGAGCTGATGGCTGGTTTGTTTATTCTATTTCTTTATTAAATGATTCTCAGAACCTAACAGTGATAGTAAAATAACTGATGAGTATTAATAAGATGCACATAAATTGGGTGAAAGAATTTACATATGCCCAATACATAATCAAAACGGAGAATTCTTCTGAATCCAGTTATTCTATATGATCAGACTCAGGAAGTGCATTACAACTTCAAACCTTAGTTGATTAGTTCATTCTTGGGCCCTGATTCTGAAGTGATTTATACATGTATAATATTAAATCTAGATAAAAACCCTTAAGAATCAAGACCTTTTACCAGAATGAAGTGCACACTTTCTTTTGATGATCCAAGTTTCATGCGTATTGTTGTATATTAAACTAAATCTAATCAGACTTGTAGGTGGTTCAG